CACTCGTCCGATGGCAGATGACCAGATGGTTGAAACACGAATACGTACATACACCCGAAACACAAGTGTCAAAACTTGTGGTGTCACCCTGAGCATGTGCCTCTGTTCACCCAGCAGGGAATGGGTACCCGAAATGTGAGCTTGGGTTGTATACTCCCCAGAGAGTTGAGAATGATAACTGGAATGCGAACGGATCCACTGGTCGGGTAACAAATAAATCCGCATTTGAGCAGATATTTGTACCTGGAGACCTGCGGTACATAAATGTTTAATGTAATGCTAATAACATGTATGGGCCTCATTTATGAACTGTTCCTCAACTATTTAAACAAGTTTGGGCCCACATGACAACTGTTCCCCAACTATTTAAACAAGTTTGGGCCCACATGACAACTGTTCCCCAACTATTTAAACAAGTTTGGGCCCACTTGACAACTGTTCCTCAACTTTTTAAACAAGTTTGGGCCCACTTGACAACTGTTCTTCAACTTTTTAAACAAGTTTGGGCCCACTTGACAACTGTTCCTCAACTATTTAAACAAGTTTGGGCCCACTTGACAACTGTTCCTCAACTATTTAAACAAGTTTGGGCCCACTTGACAACTGTTCCTCAACTATTTAAACAAGTTTGGGCCCACTTGACAACTGTTCCTCAACTATTTAAACAAGTTTGGGCCCACTTGACAACTGTTCCTCAACTATTTAAACAAGTTTGGGCCCACTTGACAACTGTTCCTCAACTATTTAAACAAGTTTGGGCCCACTTGACAACCGTTCCTCAACTATTGTCAGTCGACAAACCATGTTATACAACTGATGTTGAAAAATACTAGTCCAGGGGCTAGGAAATAACTACGAAACACGACCAATATTTCGTCATGCTTGGGTCTAAGAATCTTGTCTAGACGCTTTATGCAAACAGTGGTGGTGTTTTAATAAAACGATCGAAAACAGCTTCGCAGTATTGTCATACGCCTGATACAAATTTTCCCTCAGACTTTAATTTTGTTCTTATGATTCACGTCTACCATACACGTCTGTGAACATCCTATTAAGGGAGTGCGTGCATTGTTTACGCCGTCGAGTTTAGAAATAACACAGCAACTTACGGTGGGGGACAAAGTGACTAAGTGACTTTATTTCGTACGAAGCTACACCTTTCAAACATGTGATCATCGTGTATTGTCGTATGTATCATTCCGGATACCAAGGGTATGTTTTAGAATATGCTCAAATCACCGGTACTTAAACAAGATGATCAATTGTTTACAACATTTGAAATATTAAGTTCACGTTACTTTATTTTCACATATACCACCAAGACTCATATGACCTCATTAAACTTATAACACTAAGGGTCTGGCTAAGCCAAACACTATAACGCAAGCTGACAAATTCGCATGAAATCGTGAGTTTAATAAGTTCCCTTCACTGGGTTACGTTCTTAGAGAACTGAATGGGAGTGTTGGAGACCATGGCTTTATATAATGCATAACCCACTCAGCGTTTACTCACGTCATCATTCACACTGGGTATTGGTAGTTTGTTGGGACAGTACTTGATTACTCTCTGCCATTGGGTTTTGTAAACCTATGAATGGACCTTCTAGAAAATAATTGTACCGTAATGCTGTTTTAGGCTTCGACTTCTAATTAGCATGTGTTCGTGTGTTGCGAGACATCACTGCAGTGAAACAAGTTACAATAAACGAGATGTGGCACAACTGTGCATTTATCACAACAGAAGACTTGTATACACGATGCCTGCATTCAGTCAGTCAGAAGAAATCAGTGAAAACGTGTATACGCAAGCTGAAACGCTACACTGGGTAATTATCCACAGTGTTTTTGTTTTTTTAAATATTTTTTTTCCAGTTTCAGTGGTTACATACACAGTGAAATATACATATATAGCATTATTAACATTTTGACACAGCATATTTGGAGGATAGGTCTTGATCATGTAGGATCGAGCAAGATGTTCTGGCATGAAAGTAGTTAATACCATATTTATGAGCAATCGTAGAAAGATAAGCTAATAATAAAAAAATAAACAGTACCGAAATATAGTATTGTAATCATTATCTTGGAGAAACATTGCAATTTTTCTTTGGCAATAGAGTCAAAGTGATTGGAAACAATCAATAATAACACACAGTCACCAATCTATGCAAGATTCAAGGCATCATGTAAACCACAATACAATATCCACTTTCTGTTATAAGTGCAAAGCTTATTATTAGTTTTTGCTGACAGATATTCCAAATAGATAGCATCTTTTAATACTTGTTTAAAAACATCCATTGAGGGTTTCCTTTTCTTTAAACTAGAAATAAAAATGTGTCTCTTAGCTAACATAATAATATGATTATTTGCAGGTTTTGCACTTATTTCACCAAAACATACATTAAATCTTGTAAAAAGTATATGATTATTTCTAACAGAATTAAAAAAAGACTCCAAGTTTTGCCAGAATTCGAACACATATTCACAGTCATAAAATACATGCATCAAGTTTTCTTTCTCTATCTTGCAAAATTCACATAAATCATCATCGACAAGTTTCATTTTATAAAGTTCTTTTTTGGTATAACATTCTATGCAAAAATCTAAATTGAAAATCTATCGATAACAATAAAATCTATAACAATATATCGCTGTGCAAAGTTGCGTCCCTTGGGCACGCCAGAAACCTATGATTGTGGGCTCGAATCCCGGTTCGCTCCGTTTTTGTTTCTGGGTTTGCCAGCAGTGAGTTGGGTTTAACACCGCTTTTGACAGTATAACAGTTATATCACGGCGTGTCAACTTAATGTGGGAGGAAAGCCCGAAGTGATGCAGGTCTCAGACGTTTACCACTTCGGTGAAAACCCACGAGCACGTGTATGTTGCTGACAAACCTAGAAACATAATCGGGGAGAACCGCCACATGTTCAACACGAATAAAGTTTCGCATCATATTCAAATGGCGGGCAAATGATACGTACGTTTCAGAAGTCGGTCAATTGGGCCTCGGATGACACGTTCATTTCCTAACACGCATACATTTGGGAAATACTATCCCTTCGTGTAGTGACACATTATACCCTTGTGGGGAATGGAGCTCGGATCGTTATCATGGCGACCGCCTCCGTGGTCTTGTGGTAGAGCGGCAGGCCGGAGAGCGGAAAGTCCGGGGTTCGATCCCCGGCCGCGTGATACAAAAAGACATTGAGGGGCTAAAACAAGGACTGGTCGGCTCGGAGTCAGTATACTGTGTCTGAGTGGGGTATTCATGTTTAACTGCGGCATGGTATCTCAGTGAGCTAGCACTATAAATCGGCATCAGTCCGGACTAGTACAAGCAGTCACACAAACACACACACACGTACATGCACGTCGCTCTATAAGCGGAATAATCTTGGACGCGACGTTAAACCCAATTTCACTTCACCGTTATCATGGCGAGCCAATGCCATAACCATTATCCCCTTGAGGAGGATATGAAAATGGAATGAATGTATCAATACGAATCCATGTATATATTACAGTAAACTACAGTTATAGCGACCTGAAAGGGACCACAAATTCTAGTTCGTTATAACCGTAATTCGTTATAAGCGTGTTCGTTATAACCGTAGTTTACTGTATATAATTTCAATCAAGGAAGGGAGACTATATAGTCTCAAATAGTCTCCCTATATTATATTCTAATTATATTTGAATAGAATTTAGTTTTTTGATGTTTTTTTACTTTTCTATAAAAACTGCAGTGACCAACCATTTGTTTTTTGTTGTGAGTGGGTGAATATTGCATCGGCAAATATCAGCTATATGGCGCTTGCAACACATTCATGAAATGACAGAGTAAAGTTGTCTACGGTTAGAATAGGTCTTCAGCAACCCATACTTGTCGTAAAAGGCGACTAACGGATCGGATGGTCAGGCTCGTTGACTTGGTTGATGCATGTCATCGTATCCCAATTGCCTAGGTCATGTCATTCACTGAATTGTCTGATCCATACTGGAACATTTACAAACAGCTATCACATAGCACGCTCGTTTTGATACTCTACATCTGATCATTTGGATTTCAGTCACCACGCTCTGAAAAAATATTCTTTTCGAAATCTGATCATCAACGTTTCAAATTCCGAAGCGAATCCCGCATTGTGAAACGAGATCAAAGGATACCAAGGTTCAGCAAGTAGGTGTAGGATTTACGTAAATAAAGATTAATTGCGTCGTACAATTAACGCATCTTTTGATGGAGATTCAACTGAAATAATATAGAATAATTTTCATTTATCATCTTATACCTTCATATGATATGATTACTTTGCTATCAAAATTAAAATGTACATAAAGCGTTTACAGCAATATTTTGACGGTCAGTGTTTTTCAAGTGTTGAACCATGTAAACTTCGTCATGTTCTGTTTGAAAGTGTAGCCAGCCGTTGGAAAACACCTCAGATTCATGTACAAACGTAAATTCTCTACTGTTGTATCCTGAATATTTATCAACTCATATTTGGATTTTGTTATATTTTCCATCTTGGTAGTCTTTAGTACATGTCATCGATATAGTTGATGATGATATAATCTAAAAGGTACAATCGACTTTGTTGCTTGACGGAGATTTCTTTTGGATATGAAAAGGGTTTTGTCGCTTTTATTTATCGATAACATATTGATTTTTTTCAGTGCATATATCAGTAATACTGCGCTGTCAAAGGTTGTTTTCAATAAAATAACACTGTTTCTCTATTCATGCTTGTCCATTGGTGTTTGCAGTACCCCTGTGGTCGGAAATGTATGGGTATCCATTGACTAGAACTGCAATTCGAGGTAGTTTTCTTGAAGCTTTTGTTTTCTATCAAGAAACCATTACGTAATTTGTTGGTATGATTAAAACAAAAACGTACACACAAATTCGTTGCCATTGATCATACGAAATAATCATAATCGATGTTCCTAATCAACAAATATGTAATGTAACTACTGTTTTCAAAGAAAACTTACCTTGGCTTCTGACTGACAGGTGATCCCGACAGGTAAACTCCTCAGGTAAAACCCGTCCGATGTATGCAGGTAAGTCTCACCCGAGCGTGTCATCTCGGTCTCTCAGGTGTTTTGCGATCTCCCCGATTGGCGGCTCTTCCCGGTCAAAAGAAGCCAACAAGAAGACTGCAAGCCTGGCATTGTTAACAGACTAAACAAGGCCTGCATAAGGTGGGGAGGGTTTGGTCTAGGCTTAAAGGGACTTTCGCGTATCAAAGTCGAGTATCATTAAATGTGTTTTATTTTTTTTAAATTGCAGTACAATAGCTACAACTGCATCCGTCAAAGGGATGGAGGAAGGATCATAGTTAATATTTAATATTATTCCCTTGATTACTGCGTTCAGTACGTACATGGCACTACGTGGATCACAATTGTTGAATTGAAATGTTTTCCCATTACAAACAGTGACAAACAGAAGTTATTTTAATCTTATCAAAATTCAACTGTTTACTATTCAAGGTTTCGCATTTACTTATGACAGTAGACATTCACCAACTAGCAATTTTAACCAGTGTTGGGATATTTATCACAGGTCAAGATTTGATGTCTTTTACAGGTACAAAAAATATTTAAATATGGTGTATATTTCTCCTTCTTGCGCGTGAGTGTTTAACTTACTCTCAGTTCAAAACTCCAAAGAGTTGCAATAAATTACAGAGTAAACAAAATGTTTAGGTATCAAATACATGACAGTCATCTTTGGTGAAAGACGTGTTGAGGAGTATTTAAATCCTAAACGTAACAAAAGTTTTGTTATATCTGAGCACCTGAAAGCGACAAGAATCCCACTTTACACCCCCAAATCTACGTGTTTAAAGGCCTAAATATGTTGATATGCTGAGTTGGGTTTACCACTGCTTGGTCAGAGCTTAAACACTGGCAGATCCAGAGGAGAGGTGCTGAGGGTGCAGTGGGTGCACACACACACACATCACATCTCATCCACACACACCCTACACCTCGCACACACACCATACACCTCCCACCTCCCACCTCCTCCACACACCACAACATCTCACACACACAAGGCAAACCACACAGACACCTCACACAAACAAACTACAATCCTCACACACACACCATGCACAGTAAACACATACCACACACACACCACGTGTCACCCACGCACACCACACACCACCCACACACACCACGTATCACCAACACACCTCACACACTTAATACACACACCACATACATAATACACACACGCCACACACCTCACAAACACGCCACACACCTCACACACACACCACACACCTCTCACACACACACCTCACACACACGCCACAAACCTCACACACACGCCACACACCTCAGTCACACACCACACACCTCACACACACCTCACATACACACCACAAACCTCAGATACATGCCACACACCTCACACACACACCTCACATACACGCCACACATATCATACACACAACAAACCTCGGACACACGCCACACAACTCACACACACACCACACACCTCATACACCCAACACACCCCTCGGACACACGCCACACACCTCACACACACATCATACACCTCACACACACGCCACACACCTCACACACACACACCACACACCTCACACACACGCCACACACCTCAGACACACGCCACATACCTCGAACACACGCCACACACCACACACACACACCACACACCTCACACACACGCAACACACCTCACACGCACACATCACACACATCACACACAGGCCACACACCTCAGACACACGCCACACGCCACACACCTCACACACACACCACACACCTCATACACACCACACACCTCGGACACACGCCACACACCTCACACACACACCTCACACCTTATACACCAAACACACACCTCGGACACACGCCACACACCTCACACACACACCTCACACACACACACCACACACACGCCACACACCTCAGACACACGCCACACACCTCACACACACACCACACACCTCATACACACCACACACCTCATACACCCAACACACACCTCGGACACACGCTACTCACCTCAGACACACACCACACACCTCACACACACGCCACACGCCTCACACGCACACATCACACATCTCACACACACGCCACCCACCTCAGACACACGCCACACACCTCAAACACACGCTACACACCTCATACACACCACACACCTCGGACACACGCCACACACCTCACACACACACCACATACCTCATACACACCACACACCACACACCTCGGACACACGCCACACACCTCAGACACAAACCACACACCTCACACACACGCCACACACCTCAGACACAAACCACACACCTCACACACACGCCACACACCTCACACACACACACCACACGCCACACACCTCACACACACGCCACACACCTCGGACACACGCAACACACCTCAGACACACACCACAAACCTCGGACACACGCCACACACCTCACATACACACCACACACCTCACACACACACCACACACCTCATACACACCACACACCTCACACACACCTCACATACACACCACAAACCTCAGACACACGCCACACACATCACACATACACCTCACACACACCTCACACACACAACACACACATCATACACACAACACACCTCACACACACGCCACACCACTCACGCACACGCCACACAACTCATACACACAACACACACCTCACACACACGCCACACACCTCACACACACGCCACACACCTCACACACACGCCACACACCTCATACACACGCAACACACCTCATACACACAACACACACCTCATACACACGCCATACACCTCACACATACAACACACCTCTCACACACGCCACACACCTCGGACACACGCCACACACGCCACACACCTCACACACACGCCACACACCACACACCACACACCTCACACACACACGCCATACACCTCTCACACACGCCACACACCTCACACACACGCCACACACCTCACACACACACGCCACACACCTCACACACACGCCACACACCTCATACACACACGCCACACAACTCACACACACACCATACACCTCACACGCACACCACACACCTCACACACACACCGCACACATCACACACACACCGCACACATCATACACACAACACACATATCATACACACAACACACACCACACCTCACACACTCACACACACCACACACTTAATATACACACACAACACACAACACACCTCACATACACGCCACACACCTCATGCACACACCACACATCTCATACACACAACACACAACACACAACACACACACCACACACTTAATACACACCCCACACACATCACACGCACACCATACACCTGACACACCAGGCACCTCATACACACACCCAACCCCACACATCTCACACACACGCCACACACCTCATACACACAACACACACCACATACACACAACACACAACACACAACACACAACACACACCACATACACACGCCATACACCTCACATCACACACTTTCTATCAAATTTTGCACTCAAATGATACCTAAACAGTTAACAAGCGATTAAAACATACAAACATTGACATGTTATACCAAACCCGAAATGGCTAAATGCAAGAGATTTATAATTTCTAAGAAAGAAAACTAGGGTGTTAATTTTAAAGGGAAATGGTTATGTGTTAACTGCAGAATTTACTGCAAAATGTTGTAACTACAGCCGCAGAACTTTGGTAAGTTTACCACAAAAGATGTGTCCGGGACTGACAATGTTCTGATTGCCTGTACTGAGTCATATCATATGAACAGGCAGAATAAACATTTGAGAGGCTAGTCAAATAATCATTTCCGGAAAGGAAGATGTCATTAGAGTTCTCGTTTTCGTATTTCAATATGAGCATGCAACTGTGAAAACCAAAATATATGTGTGTTGGCTTGGCGTAGCAATATTCCATTAATATCGGGGTACACCAGAAATGGGCTTCACATATTGTACCCATGTCGGGAATCGAACCCGGGTTTTCGGCGTGACGAGCGAACGCTTTAACCACTAGGCTACCCGACCGCCTCTGGAAGCGTATGTACGTGGTTCAGTGATCTATCGGTCATCTCCTGACCAGGCGAATAAGGAGTTCTCAATGTGTCAAATTACATCCCCATGAAACACTAAGGTCAAGATAAATGACACATACCATAGCCATTATTAGTGACAGGGCATTGTGTGTCTTCATTAACCCCCATTACAATATGCAAACCCCCAAATGTCAGTAGGCATACTGTGGTTAGGCCACCAAAAAGTAGTTAATTGTTCGTCGGAATCGTCGGGTGTTTGTAGTGATCACCTCCTGATGATAAACATACTTTTAAAGAATAAACTGAAAGCTACAAGGAACTATAGATTACTTTCTGTAAATTTATATTGTAAGGTACGGGTCATTTGGTATTGTGAGGGTGGGTGGAGAGGGGGTTCAGGGATTCTGTTTTAAAAAGTAAGTAGTCCTCAGGGTTTACGCTGGAACGCACGCGGGATGTCCTGAAAAATGTGTCGTGAAAAACTCATGTGGCTCCACCTACAGGAAATAATTACGCGTTTTCAAGCAGTGATGCAAAAATATCCAACAAAAATCTGAGTAAGAACTCCCCATTACCGCGTCACAAAATAACATTGTATGACATATTTAAAAACAGCTGATTACAGAACTACACCATGTTACCTTATTAGGCCTTTTACTTTTATTGTTTTTTTTTCATATTTTTTAAAGCCTGCTCTTGTTGCCGCACAGCGAGTGTGAGTAATGGTTTTACGCCGCTTTTAGCAATATCCCAACAATTTTACGGCGACACCAGAAATTGGCTTCACACATTGTATCTATATGGGGAATCGAACCCGAATCTTCGGCCTGACGATTGAACGCTTTAACCACTACGCTACCCCACCGCCCCTTACAACACAGTGAAGAAGGCGGATATAAGTTTTGGATGTAATTCCATTGTTGTTTCATGATACACTTCCGGGGTAGAATAGGTCTTCAGCAACCCATGCTTGCCGTAAAAGGTGACTATGCTTGTCGTAAGAGGCGACTAACGGGATCGGGTGGTCAGGCTCGCTGACTTGCTCATTATATCAATCACTGGATTGTCTGGTCCAGACTCGATTAT